TGGTATAAGTCAGTATCATTGTCTCTGGTATAAGTCAGTATCATTGTCTCTGGTATAAGTCAGTATCATTGTCTCTGGTATAAGTCAGTATCATTGTCTCTGTATAAGTCAGTATCATTGTCTCTGGTATAAGTCAGTATCATTGTCTCTGGTATAAGTCAGTATCATTGTCTCTGGTATAAGTCAGTATCATTGTCTCTGGTATAAGTCAGTATCATTGTCTCTGGTATAAGTCAGTATCATTGTCTCTGGTATAAGTCAGTATCATTGTCTCTGGTATAAGTCAGTATCATTGTCTCTGGTATAAGTCATGTATCATTGTCACTGGTATAAGTCAGTATCATGTCTCTGGTATAAGTCAGTATCATTGTCTCTGGTATAAGTCATATCATTGTCTCTGGTATAAGTCAGTATCATTGATCTCTGGTATAAGTCAGTATCATGTCTCTGGTATAAGTCAGTATCATTGTCTCTGGTATAAGTCAGTATCACATTGCTCTGGTATAAGTCAGTATCATTGTCTCTGTATAAGTCAGTATCATGTCTCTGGTATAAGTCAGTATCATTCCTGGTATAAGTCAGTATCATTGTCTCTGGTATAAGTCAGTATCATTGTCTCTGGTATAAGTCAGTATCATTCTCTGGTATAAGTCAGTATCATTGTCTCTGGTATAAGTCAGTATCATTGTCTCTGGTAATAAGTCAGTATCATTGTCTCTGGTATAAGTCAGTATCATTGTCTCTGGTATAAGTCAGTATCATTGTCTCTGGTATAAGTCAGTATCATTGTCTCTGGTATAAGTCAGTATCATTGTCTCTGGTATAAGTCAGTATCATTGTCTCTGGTATAAGTCAGTATCATTGTCTCGGTATAAGTCAGTATCATTGTCTCTGGTATAAGTCAGTATCATTGTCTCTGGTATAAGTCAGTATCATTGTCTCTGGTATAAGTCAGTATCATTCTCTGGTATAAGTCAGTAATCATTGTCTTGGTATAAGTCAGTATCATTGTCTCTGGTATAAGTCAGTATCATTCTCTGGTATAAGTCAGTATCATTGTCTCTGGTATAAGTCAGTATCATGTCTCTTGGTATAAGTCAGTATCATTCTCTGGTATAAGTCAGTATCATTGTCTCTGGTATAAGTGAGTATCATTCTCTGGTATAAGTCAGTATCATTCTCTGGTATAAGTCAGTATCATTCTCTGGTATAAGTCAGTATCATTGTCTCTGGTATAAGTGAGTATCATTCTCTGGTATAAGTCAGTATCATTCTCTGGTATAAGTCAGTATCATCTCTGATAAGCGTATCATGTCTCTGTATAAGTCAGTATCATTGTCTCTGGTATAAGTCAGTATCATTCTCTGGTATAAGTCAGTATCGTTCTCTGGTATAAGTCAGTATCATTCTCTGGTATAAGTCAGTATCATTCTCTGGTATAAGTCAGTATCATTCTCTGGTATAAGTCAGTATCATGTTCTCTGGTATAAGTGAGTATCATTCTCTGGTATAAGTCAGTATCATTCTCTGGTATAAGTCAGTATCATTCTCTGGTATAAGTCAGTATCATTGTCTCTGGTATAAGTCAGTATCATGTCTCTGGTATAAGTCAGTATCATTCTCTGGTATAAGTCAGTATCATCCTGGTATAAGTCAGTTCATTCTCTGGTATAAGTCAGTATCATTTCTCTGGTATAAGTCAGTATCATTCTCTGGTATAAGTCATGTATCATTTCTCTGGTATAAGTGAGTTACATTCTCTGGTATAAGTCAGTATCATTCTCTGGTATAAGTCAGTATCATTCTCTGGTATAAGTCAGTATCATTGCTCTGGTATAAGTCAGTATCATTGTCTCTGGTATAAGTCAGTATCATTCTCTGGTATAAGTCAGTATCATTCTCTGGTATAAGTCAGTATCATTCTCTGGTATAAGTCAGTATCATTCTCTGGTATAAGTCAGTATCATTGTCTCTGGTATAAGTCAGTATCATTGTCTCTGGTATAAGTCAGTAATCATTCTCTGGTATAAGTCAGTATCATTCTCTGGTATAAGTCAGTATCATTGTCTCTGGTATAAGTCAGTATCATTGTCTCTGGTATAAGTCAGTATCATTCTCTGGTATAAGTCAGTATCATTCTCTGGTATAAGTCAGTATCTTCTCTGGTATAAGTCAGTATCATTTCTCTGTATAAGTCAGTATCATTGTCTCTGGTATAAGTCAGTATCATTGCTCTGGTATAAGTCAGTATCATGTCTCTGGTATAATCAGTATCATTCTCTGGTATAAGTCAGTATCATTCTCTGGTATAAGTCAGTATCATTCTCTGGTATAAGTCAGTATCATTCTCTGGTATAAGTCAGTATCATTGTCTCTGGTATAAGTGAATATCATTCTCTGGTATAAGTCAGTATCATTCTCTGGTATAAGTCAGTATCATTCTCTGGTATAAGTCAGTATCATTGTCTCTGGTATAAGTCAGTATCATTGTCTCTGGTATAAGTCAGTATCATTCTCTGATATAAGTCAGTATCATTCTCTGGTATAAGTCAGTATCATTCTCTGGTATAAGTCAGTATCATTCTCTGGTATAAGTCAGTATCATTCTCTGGTATAAGTCAGTATCATTCTCTGGTACTCTCAACATTGGTTAGTTTTGCTTAAAAAAAAAATGAACTCTAGGACATAATAGTGTAGATAAGGTTTCAACCCTGCGACCTTGATCACTCCCAAGTGATCAAGGTCCCAAGTGATCAAGGTGCCAGGTGATCAAGGTGCCAAGTGATCAAGGTCTCAGGTGATCAAGGTCCCAGGTGATCAAGGTCACAGGAGATCATGGTCCCAGGTGATCAAGGTTCCAAGTGATCAAAGTCCCAGGTGATCAAGGTCGCAGGTGATCAAGATCCCAAGTGATCAAGGTCCCAGGTGATCAGGATCTCAAGTGATCAAGGTCCAGGGTGTTTGCTCGCGTGGTTTTTTTTAAACCACTTGTGGTATTAACTGCCAAGGGTTTTTATGCTAATCGTCCGCCAGAGGGCGGAGGAGGAGGAATGTTTTCGTCCTCATATACTCCTGATTTTCCAGGCGACCTCTTTACTGGGCTGCCTTCACATCCATTGGCCTGATAGATGGAAGAGTCTGTTATGTGATGTAATAGATGGAACACTTAATATGTGGGCCGATAGATGGAACGGTCTATTAATGTGTGGTCTGACAGATGGAACACTTAATATGTGATGAACATCAAAATGGTATACAATACCGACAGGTTGGTAGGTAAGACACATAGGCAACAGTTAGGCAACTTTATTCCGAAACGTCTTCACATCTCTACTGTTCCTGCCTACTTTCTGTATTCGACTGAAGAAGCCTACTGTGTAGCCGAAACGTTTCGGAATAAAGTTGCCTAACTGTTGCCTATGTGTCTTACCTACTTAATATGTGAGTTGATAGATAGAACAGTCTATTAATATGTGGTCTGATAAGAGGAACAGTCTATTATGTGAAGTGTTAAAGGCACCTGGGTGTCCTCAAGGCGAGGTACCACGATACAGTTGTTTGGTGTCCTGTGGGTGAGTCTTGTCCGGCCAGTTGGCAGAATCCTGGGCAGTTTTCCACCTTCCACAACTATGTAAATAAGACAGGACTCCCAAGAACAGTTTTATTATACAAGTATAACAGTAATTGCTTAATATTATTCTGTGTGAAGCAGTAAACCTGTGTGGGTTACTCAGCACAAGGAGTAATAGAGGCTCGGTCCACTGTTACTGAATTATTGGTTGATGGTAATCACTGATCACTCCTGTTATTGATGAGATTAAGACACAAGTGCAACATCTGGGTATCTTTATTGTAGACGTTTCGCCATCCAGTGGCTTTATCAATACAAATTCTAGGACATAACTTGAAGACAGTAGAACTATGTACAGAAGATGAGGTAATCAGTCCCTCAACCTAGGAGTAGGTGCGAAGAGCACCGTAGTCGTGGAGATTCTGAATTCAGAATCTCCACAACTACGGTGCTCTTCGCACCTACTCCTAGGTTGAGGGACTGATTACCTCATCTTCTGTACATAGTTCTACTGTCTTCAAGTTATGTCCTAGAATTTGTATTGATAAAGCCACTGGATGGCGAAACGTCTACAATAAAGATACCCAGATGTTGCACTTGTGTCTTAATCTCATCTTGTCGGTATTATATACCATTCGTACACACTCCTGTTATTGTTAGAGTGATTGTGAGTCAAGACACTCGCCCATGTGTGTGTGTGTGTACTTACCTATTTGTGGTTGTAGGGGTCACGTCACAGCTCCTGGCCCCGCCTCTTCGCTGGTCGCTACTAGGTTCACTCTCTCCCTGCACCATGAGCTTTATCGTACTTCTTCTTAAAGCTATGTGTGGATTCTACCTCCACTACATCACTCCCTAGACTGTTCTACTTCCTGACAAATCTATGACTAAAGAAATACTTCCTCACATCCCTTTGACTCATCTGAATCTTCAACTTCCAGTTGTGTTCATGTTTGTGGACGGAGGATCAAGCCTCCAGCATCCCTTGGTCTGAGGGACACACACAGTGTTTAATGCTTTACGTAAATGTCTTAAATAACATCTAATCTGTGTATGATGTTGAGTGTTATAGAGTCAATATTAATAAAATACAGAGGATATCGACTCAGGTAAGAACCAGGAATAACGGATTTAAGTTGGATAAATTTAGATTTAGAAAGAACATAGGTAAGAACTGGTTTTTAAACAGAGTTGTCGATGCGTGGAACAATCTTCCGAGTAGGGTAATCGAGGCTAGGACCCTGGGTAGCTTTAAAAAGAGATTGGACAAATATATGAGTGGGAGGAGCTGGGTTTGATTGGTGTCGTGGGAACGGGAGTAAATTCTTGGGTAGCTTTGAGTAGTGGTTTTGATAAGGACCTGCCTTGTATGGGCCAGTAGGCCTTCTGCAGTGTTCCTTGATTTTAATGTTTTTATGTTATATTTCAGATCATCCACGCTAAGTCAGATGAGCAGCGACAGCGCTTGTCTGAGGCTGTTAAAAACATCTTCCTCTTCAGATCTCTTGATCATGTGAGTATTACCTTTATTATGTATTATCTTTATTAAGTATTACCTTCATTATGTATCACCATCATGTATTACTCATTACTGTACACAGTTTCTTCCTCCCATATGAGCGCCTCTTATCACCCACCTTACCCCCCCCCCCACCTGTGACTCTTAGAGCGTCTAGGTTAGGTAATGTTTGTCAGGAAATAGGACAAGTGTTTCCTGACGCGGGTCTTAGTCAAATGATGACCCGCAGCTGGAGCTATTGGTCATCTGACCGAGACCGAAGGTGCCTGCATGTTATGCTCAGACATGTATGTTATATGAGGCGGCAGAAGTCTCGGGATAACCCAGACAAGATGCTAAAAGACCCCAATGTTCTGACTTTTCTGGGTTATCCTGGTGGATAATTTACACTGTGTATGATAATTGTACTTATGTATACCTGTGTCTAAATAAACTTACTAATGTGTCTCCCAGGTAACGAGCCTCACTCTCACTACCAGTAACGTTAGTGACAAATTCAACCAAACACCTAAGTAATTATGTCCCTTGGTCTAGTAGGCAACGCTCTCGCCTCACACACACTGTGTCCGTGGTTTGATCCCCAGCCGGGTAGAAACGTGCGTTTTTCCTTACACCTGTTGTTACTGTTAACCTAGCTGTAAGTAGGTACCTGGGTGTTAGTTGACTGGTGGGGGTGGCATCCTGGGGGACAAGATTGAAGGACCACAATGGAAACAAGAGACAGCCCTCGATAACGCACTAACTTTCTTAGGTTATCCTAGCTGGCTAACCCTCCGAGGTTAAAAATCCCAACAAAATCTTAACTGCATATTACAACACTCTCCAAAAAAACAGAGAGTATAGAGAGAGTAGAGTTGTAAAGGCAGCTCACCTGTATTTTAGTCCAATACTTGTATTTACGTTCATCAACATGACAGTCTCCAGAAATGTAAACATTACTGCAATTTACTGACGTCACGGAGTTGTGACGTGTCATTTTCCCATTGGTCGAGTGAATCTACTAGTGTCTACTATTGGCTAAGACTTGTTGACGTAGATTTGACGTCATAATCTTGCGAGGACGCGTAGCTTGTATGTTTTTGTTGGGGTGAAGGAGGGGGAGGCAGTGAGGGGAGGAGACGGAAATGGGGAGAGGGGATGGGAGAAAGGAGAATAAGGGAGTAGGATATGGATAAACGTTGGGGAGAATACAAAGACAACACCGGAAAATACATTGTGCATGTAGCACCATGTGTGTGTGTGTGTACTCACCTAGCTGTGGTTACAGGGGTCGATTCACAGCTCCTGGCTCCCGCCTCTTCACTGGTCGCTACTAGGTCACTCTTCATGCTCCATGAGATTTATCATACTTCTTCTTAAAGTTATGTATGCCTCCACTACATCACTTCCCAGGCTATTCCACTTCCTGACAATTCTGTGACTGTACTCGCTTATTTGTGTGTGTGTGTGTGTGTGTGTGTGTGTGTGTGTGTGTGTGTGTGTGTGTGTGTGTGTGTGTGTGTGTGTGTGTGTGTGTGTGTGTGTGTGTGTGTGTGTGTGTGTGTGTGTGTGTGTGTGTGTGTGTGTGTGTGTGTGCGTGTGTGTGTGTGTGGTGTGTGTGTGTGTGTGTGTGTGTGTGTGTGTGTGTGTGTGTGTGTGTGTGTGTGTGTGTGTGTGTGTGTGTGTGTGTGTGTGTGTTTTTCACACCTGCATCCTATTTCCTCCACATCCTCCCCTTTCTATTTTCTCAAATTTTCCTTTACCCGCTGAGTCAATTTCGCTGACGTAGACTCTTTCAGTCTCTCTCTCTTCTCTCTCTTCTTCTCTCTCTCTCTCTCTCTCTCTCTCTCTCTCTCTCTCTCCTCTCTCTCTCTTCTCTCTCTCTCTCTCTCTCTCTCTCTCTTCTCTCTCTCTCTCTCTCTCTCTCTCTCTCTTCTCTCTTCTTCTCTCTCTCTCTCTCTCTCTTTCTTCTCTCTCTTCTCTCTCTTCTCTCTCTTCTCTCTCTCTCTCTCTCTCTCTCTCTCTCTCTCTCTCTCTCTCTCTCTCTCTCTCTCTCTCTCTCTCTCTCTCTCTCTCTCTCTCTCTCTTCTCTCCTCTCTCTCTCTCTCCTCTCTCTCTCTCTCTCTCTCTCTCTCTGTCTAGTCTCCCAAAATATTTTTTTAAAACTCTCCCCTTCCTTGAATCCCTACTCTCATCCCTTCCTATAATTCTTCATTTCTCTTCACCCACTCTCACCGCAGTGTATATACACTGAGAGATACCTCACTGTATTTACACTGACAGATATCTCAGTGACCCCCGGAACTCTCTCCAGGTAAACTCCAGGTAATATAAATTCTTAGTTTCCCCTCACTTCTAAAAAACAGTGATTAACAACACTGCAGCGTCTTCAAAAAAATATTTTTTGTTATATTGCCTGGTTGAGCAGTCAGGCAGCAGAACGAGCCTGACCACAGGCCGGGCTGCGGGGGTAAGGAGATTTTTGAAACCTGCCACAGGCATGCCTTGGTATATACTTTAGATAGGAGATATTACCACGTAACATGGGAGATATTTGTGCCATTGGTGGGGTCAGCATGGCTAGCACTATCACTGGTGGTGCCAGGATGGCTGGCACTATCACTGGTGGTGCCAGGATGGCTGGCACTATCACTGGTGGTGCCAGGATGGCTGGCACTATCACTGGTGGTGTCAGGATGGCTAGCACTATCACTGGTGGTGCCAGGATGGCTAGCACTATCACTGGTGGTGCCAGGATGGCTGGCACTATCACTGGTGGTGCCAGGATGGCTGGCACTATCGCTGGTGGTGTCAGGATGGCTAGCACTATCACTGGTGGTGCCAGGATGGCTAGCACTATCACTGGTGGTGTCAGGATGGCTAGCACTATCACTGGTGGTGTCAGGATGGCTAGCACTATCACTGGTGGTCCCAGGATGGCTAGCACTATCACTGGTGGTGCCAGGATGGCTGGCACTATCACTGGTGGTGTCAGGATGGCTAGCATTATCACTGGTGGTGCCAGGATGGCTAGCACTATCACTGGTGGTGCCAGGATGGCTGGCACTATCACTGGTGGTGTCAGGATGGCTAGCACTATCACTGGTGGTGCCAAGATGGCTAGCACTATCACTGGTGGTGCTAGGATGGCTGGCACTATCACTGGTGGTGTCAGGATGGCTAGCACTATCACTGGTGGTGCCAGGATGGCTAGCACTATCACTGGTGGTGTCAGGATGGCTAGCACTATCACTGGTGGCGCCAGGATGGCTAGCACTATCACTGGTGGCGCCAGGATGGCTGGCACTATCACTGGTGGTGCCAGGATGGCTAGCACTATCACTGGTGGTGCCAGGATGGGTAGCACTATCACTGGTGGTGTCAGGATGGCTAGCACTATCACTGGTGGTGTCAGGATGGCTAGCACTATCACTGGTGGTGTCAGGATGGTTAACAATATCACTGGTGGTGTCAGGATGGCTAGCACTATCACTGGTGGCGCCAGGATGGCTGGCACTATCACTGGTGGTGCCAGGATGGCTAGCACTATCACTGGTGGTGCCAGGATGGGTAGCACTATCACTGGTGGTGTCAGGATGGCTAGCACTATCACTGGTGGTGTCAGGATGGTTAACACTATCACTGGTGGTGTCAGGATGGCTAGCACTATCACTGGTGGTGCCAGGATGGCTGGCACTATCACTGGTGGTGTCAGGATGGCTAGCACTATCACTGGTGGTGCCAGGATGGCTAGCACTATCACTGGTGGTGCCAGGATGGCTGGCACTATCACTGGTGGTGTCAGGATGGCTAGCACTATCACTGGTGGTGTCAGGATGGCTAGCACTATCACTAGTGGTGCCAGACTGGCTAGCACTATCGCTGGTGGTGCCAGGATGTGTCAGCATTACCACTGGTGATACCAGGTTTTCTGGCACTGTCACCGGTGGTGCCAGGATGGCTGGCACTACTACTGGTGGTGCCAAGATGTGCCAGCACTACTACTGGTGGTGCCAGGATGTGCCAGCATTACCACTGGTGGTGTCAGGATGTGCCAGTACTACCACTGGTGATGCCAGGATGACTGGCACTACCACTGGTGATGCCAGCATGGCTGGCGCTACCACTGGTGGTGCCAGGATGTGTCAGCACTACCACTGGTGAAGCCAGGATGGCTGGCACTACCACTGGTGATGCCAAGATGGCTGACGCTACCACTGGTGGTGCCAGGATGTGCCAGCACTACCACTGGTGATGCCAGGATGGCTGGCACTACCACTGGTGGTGCCAGGATGGCTGGCACTACCACTGGTGGTGCCAGGATGTGCAGCACTACTACTTGTGGTGCCAGGATGTGCCAGTACTATCACTGGTGATGCCAGGATGGCTGTCACTACCACTGGTGTTGCCAGGATGGCTGGCAGTACCACTGGTGGTGCCAGGATGTGCCAGGATGGCTGGCACTACCACTGGTGATGCCAGGATGACTGGCACTACCACTGGTGGTGCCAGGATGTGTCAGCAATACCACTGGTGAAGCCAGGATGGCTGGCACTACCACTGGTGATGCCAAGATGGCTGACGCTACCACTGGTGGTGCCAGGATGTGCCAGCACTACCACTGGTGATGCCAGGATGTTCCAGCACTACCACTGGTGGTGCCAGGATGTGCCAGTACTACCACTGGTGATGTCAGGATGGCTGTCACTACCACTGGTGGTGACAGAATGGCTGGCACTACCACTGGTGGTGCCAGGATGTGCCAAGATGGCTGGCACTACCACTGGTGATGCCAGGATGGCTGGCGCTGCCACTGGTGGTGCCAGGATGTGTCAGCACTACCACTGCTGAAGCCAGGATGGCTGGCACTATCACTAGTGATGCCAAGATGGCTTACGCTACCACTGGTGGTGCCAGGATGTGCCAGCACTACCACTGGCGATGCCAGGATGGCTGGCACTACCACTGATGGTGCCAGGATGGCTGGCACTACCACTGGTGGTGCCAGGATGTGCCAGCACTACCACTGGTGGTGCCAGGATGGCTGGCACTACCACTGGTGGTGCCAGAATGGCTGGCACTACCACTGGTGGTGCCAGGATGGTTGGCACTATCACTGGTGGTGCCAGGATGGCTGGCACTATCACTGGTGATGCCAGGATGGCTGGCACTACCACTGATGGTGCCAGGATGGCTGGCACTACCACTGGTGGTGCCAGGATGTGCCAGCACTACCACTGGTGGTGCCAGGATGGCTGGCACTACCACTGGTGGTGCCAGGATGGCTGGCACTACCACTGGTGGTGCCAGGATGTGCCAGCACTACCACTGGTGGTGCCAGGATGGCTGGCACTACCACTGGTGGTGCCAGGATGGCTGGCACTACAACATTCACTTGGTAATCAATAAAGTGTCATTCTGCTTGCCAACATTGACGTACATTTTACGTCATGTTGCAACTTTGACCCTCAGGACCATTAGTGGTCCCCGAGGGCCATTATTTGACCCTGAACGCCATTATTAATTTCTGAGGGCCATTATTTGACCCTAAACGCCATTATTGCTCCCTGAGAGACCAACAACGGCAGTATACTAGTCATGTCACACAAATCATGACAGTATACTTGTCATGTCATGCAAGTAATGGCAGTGTACTAGTCATGTCACACAAATCATGACAGTATTCTAGTCATGTCACACAGATCATGGCAGTATATTAGTGATGTCACACAGATCATGGCAGTATATTAGTGATGTCACACAGATCATGGCAGTATATTAGTCATGTCACACAGGTCATGGCAGTATATTAGTGATGTCACACAGATCATGGCAGTATATTAGTGATGTCACACAGATCATGGCAGTATATTAGTGATGTCACACAGATCATGGCAGTATATTAGTGATGTCACACAGATCATGGCAGTATATTAGTCATGTCACACAGGTCATGGCAGTATACTAGTCATGTCACACAGGTCATGGCAGTATATTAGTCATGTCACACAGGTCATGGCAGTATACTAGTCATGTCACACAGGTCATGGCAGTATACTAGTCATGTCACACAGGTCATGGCAGTATACTAGTCATGTCACACAGGTCATGGCAGTATACTAGTCATGTCACACAGGTCATGGCAGTATATTAGTCATGTCACACAGGTCATGGCAGTATACTAGTCATGTCACACAGGTCATGGCAGTATACTAGTCATGTCACACAGGTCATGGCAGTATACTAGTCATGTCACACAGGTCATGGCAGTATACTAGTCATGTCACACAGGTCATGGCAGTATAATAGTCATGTCACACAGGTCATGGCAGTATACTAGTCATGTCACACAGGTCATGGCAGTATACTAGTCATGTCACACAAATCATGACAGTATACTTGTCATGTCATGCAAGTAATGGCAGTGTACTAGTCATGTCACACAAATCATGACAGTATTCTAGTCATGTCACACAGATCATGGCAGTATATTAGTGATGTCACACAGATCATGGCAGTATATTAGTGATGTCACACAGATCATGGCAGTATATTAGTCATGTCACACAGGTCATGGCAGTATACTAGTCATGTCACACAGGTCATGGCAGTATATTAGTCATGTCACACAGGTCATGGCAATATACTAGTCATGTCACACAGGTCATGGCAGTATACTAGTCATGTCACACAGGTCATGGCAGTATACTAGTCATGTCACACAGGTCATGGCAGTATACTAGTCATGTCACACAGGTCATGGCAGTATACTAGTCATTGAACTTGGAAGTGCTGATTATTTTTCAGTTGAGTTTTGCTGATTGTATTGCTGACGTTGATGATTGTGTTGCTGACGTTGATGATTTGGTTCTTGTTGATCAGGATGTGTTGGCATCTTCCTGCGCTGGTCTGACCTAAGTCTTAGGTCTGGAGATGTGACTCTTTACACGTCCAGACCATGTGTTGGCATCTTCTTGGGCTGGTCTGACCTAAGTGGTCTGGAGGTGTGACCTCTTACACGTCCAGACCATATGTACATTCTCCAGGTCTGCAATTTCGCCTGCTGCGAAAGGGGCAGTTAGTGTACAACAATATTCCAGCCTAGAGAGTACAAGCGATTTTAAGAGAATCATCATGGGCTTGGCATCCCTAGTTTTGATGGTTCGCATTATCCATCCTACCATTTTCCTAGCAGATGTGGTAAATACATTGTTGTGATCTTTGAAAGTAAGATTCTCTAACATTATCACTCCCAGGTCCTTCACATTAGTTTTTTGCTCTGTTGTGTGGTTGGAATTTGTTTTATACTCCGATCCAGTTTTAATTTCCTCAAGTTTTCCATATCGGAGTAATTGAAATTTGTCTTCATTGAACTTATTGTTGTCTGCGGTCCATATAAAGATTTGGTTATGTCCGCTTGGAGACTTACGGTGTCCTAGATGAATGACACTTTCATGTAAATTCGGGTGTCATCGGCAAAGGAAGACATAGTACTGTGTCTGACAACTCTGTCAGACATGGGGCTGAGAAACAAGAATGAGGGGGGGGGGCGATTATTATTATAATCAAGGGGGAAGCGCTAAACCCGGAGGATTATACAGCGCCTGGGGGGGATGTGGAAGGCATTCAGGCTTAATTCGGGGAACTGGAGCACAGATCTAATTCCCTAAATCAAGAGCCCCTCACCAACATCAAGGAACCTTCCTTGAGGGGGGGGGGCGAGTACTGTACCTTGTGGAACAGAACTTTTCACTGTAGCCGCTGCTGACTTTACTCTTTTTACTATTACTCTTTGTGTTGTATTTGCTAGGAAGGTTAAGATCCATCTACCAACCAAGTGTGTTCAACCTTGGTAGATTCTATGCCATTATTATTATTATTATAATCAAGGGGGAAGCACTAAACCCGTAGGATTATACAGCGCCTATGGGGGGATGGAAGGCATTCAAGCTTAATTCAGGGAACTGGAGCACAGATCCAACTGGAGCACAGATCCAATTCCCTAGATCAAGAGCCCCTCACCAGCGTCAAGGAGCCTTCCTTGAGGGGAGATTCTATGCCAACGTGTAGTGTTTATAAAAACAAAGGGTAGTCATATCTCTTATTAAATAAATTATCTATCATATCATTGCCCTGTATTTTTCAGATAAACATTATTTTTCCAAATGTCTTCTTTAATCACCGTCTCAGTATGCACACCACTGTAGTGTAAATTGCATAGAATAACCTAAATAAAAAAGTGAAAGTGACTAATTTCAGTTGGGGTATTCTATATCATAAATACAGAACTCTCTCTCCAGTGACAAGAGCCTAGGAATGGGAGGTAATCAGTTTTATTCATGGGGAAACTGCTAAACTCATATTGGGTAATGCAACGTCTGGGGAATGAGAGGTAATCTGATTAGATATAAGTAAAGGATGAGATGGGGAGTAGTAGCTGTGTTACAAAGCATCCTTGTGGTTGAGTGAGTGGTGAGGCACCATGTGGGATGTCTGTGTCAACAGCAGGCAGCTGGCCTGTTATCCCACTGCTTCTCTTGCTCTCTCATAATATTGATACTTTGTACAGTAATCTCTGGCGAGGGTCTCTCTTACACGTTATGTTGCTCTTGAAGGCTTCTCCACCCAGTTAATGGCCCGTGCTGGCAGCTGGAACCCCTTATGGCCAAAACTAGTCTTGGGATTTTCTAATTATGGCACTGCCTAGTTTCTGGATCACTTTATAGCTCTTGCTAGGCACTCTTAAGTTATTTAACATTTTCTCACACTTATGAACAAGTTAGCTATATTTATGTGTTCAGACATTAGCAGCAGGATGTTAGTATTGTAGACATACTGACTCGGGGAATGAAGTCTGGCTTTGTCGGTGTTTAGGTCTTGGGTTCATCAAATCTAAGGACTCATGATAAATGAGACACTAGTGCAACGTTTGACCCTCTTTTCTGGAAATGTTTCGCCAGCCAGTGGCTTCTTCGGTCCAATGGAGAGAAAGGTGGAAGATGAGTTTGAGATAATCAGTCCCTCAGCCTGGAGTCGATGTGTTTAGTCCATCAGTCTGGCAGCAAATGAGGGGGCAGGGGGTGAGGAGGACAGTTAACCAGTATTAGTCATGGAACACTACCAGCATCAATCATTTAACCAGTACTAGTCATGGAGCACCAGGAACAGGATTAAATTGGAGCCTTCTGTGAGCCAGCGATTTCACTTGGTCAACTAACTTGTCGGTTTTCAAAACCATTTTCATCGTAACTTTATTTCACCAATATCATAATGCTGTGCAAACGTTTTAGAATAATTTAAACAGTACTAGTCATGCAACACCAACGTCAACCATTTAGCCAGAACTAGTCATGGAACACCAACAATATCAACCATTTAACCAGAACTAGTAATACGGGAACACCACCGTCAACTTTTTAACCAGTCATGCAACACCACCAACATCAATCATTTAACCAGAACTAGTCATACATCACCAACAACATCAATCATTTAACCAGAACTAGTCAGGCAACACCAACAACATCAATCATTTCACTATTGCAGGACCAGATTGGTGAGGTCCTGGACGCAATGTTTGAGCGACGGGTCACTGAGGGAGAGAATGTCATCAGACAGGGCGATGATGGCGATAACTTTTACGTTATTGAGTCGTGAGTACCTTCCTTCTCAGTCCCATCTACATTATTATTAATATATTCATTGCGAAGCACCAAACCTGTAGGAGTCATTACAGTGCCTGGGAATAGGATTTGATAAGGTTTGATCTAAGGATGGAAGGTTAGCTCCGATTCCTTGGCTGGAGAGCCCTTCAGAATATAAGACTAGTAAATAAAGTACAGCATTGTTTAGACAACTTCATGACATCAAACTAGAGGAATTTAAAATAGTTCTTTGAAAATTTTAAAATTAACTGTACAGTATTATGGGGAAACCCTAAGCCCGTAGGATTTCATTCAACGTCTAAGATTATTATTATTATAATCAAAAAGAAGCGCTAAGCCACAAGGGCTATACAGCATCAACGTCTAAGAGATGTTAGGTAACTAGACTTGATCTATTATATTAACATTAACGAGGGAAATGCTAAATCCCGTAAGGTCCATACAGTGCCTAAGATAATGGGAATCAATTATGTTTGATCCAAGAATGAGATCAGACCCAATTCCTTGGCTCAAAAGCCCTCATTTGTGTCAGTGAACCTCCCTTGAGGGGATTTAATCAGAAAAAGTTGAAGTAGGTCCAATTTTTCTGTCACTGGGAGGCATTCAGATTAAATTCAAGGAAAGGAAAAGTACCTCCAGTTCCTCAGAGCAAGTGTTCTTCACTGGCATCAAGGAACCTACCTAGAAGTGGTAAATTTGAGACTGGTCCAGGATGGACTATAATATAATTTAGTTTGGGGGATTTCTTTGAGTGTTACGGTACTCTAGTGTAACATGTACACACGAAGAGTGTGACTTAATATATTTCTTTGAGTGTAATCGCACTAGTAAGGATTAGTCTGCCCGAAATTCACCGCATGGTTGTGGCTTTCATTTGTGCTTAACAGTACTAGTATTTTATTACATGTAAACTACATGTTGTATACTGCAGACAAGAAATCAAGTTGTATGTTGTATATTGTAAGCCATTTATTCATCAGGGGTGTGTACAACATCTACGTGAAAAACGAGAACGATGCAGAGCCTCGGCTCGTGGGTAACTACGACAACTCCGGCAGCTTCGGGGAGTTGGCCCTCATGTACAACCTACCTCGAGCTGCCACCATCCAGGCAGTGACCTCCGGTGCCCTCTGGGCCATGGACCGCCACACCTTCCGCAGAATATTACTCAAATCTGCCTGCAGGAAGAGGAAGATGTACGAGGCACTGCTGGAAAATGTGCCTATGTTAAAAACATTGGAGGTAAGCCAAAGTTCAGTGAGGTATATGTGTGTATAAGTATAAACATTATCTTAGACCACGACAAGACTCAGACCTATGTATTCTGTACTGAAGCACATAAGACAGGGGGACCAGGATGGGACGAAGAGAGGAAGAAATAAGAAAGTGGAGGAGTAGTGGTAGAGGTAATACTGGTAGTGGAGGTACTAGTAGAAGTAGTAGTAGTATTATTATTACTAGTATTATAGTGGTAGTAGTAAGTAGTAGTAGTAGTATGTAGCAGTGTTCCATACCCGGGAGCACTAGAGTTGTGTTTCAGGTGTTTCATCCCATCTTGTCACATGCACTGGTCCACATGGTTGTGTATCACAGTTAAAATATTCTTCTCTATCTCTGATGTCACTCTTAAAATATTAAAGTATTTTACTTTTATTTTTGTAATTTAGGATAAGTAGTGATATGAATGCTTACTTACTAATGCTGCCCCAATTTAAAGATAAGTTTGTGGCAAAATACCACATATACGTATAATCGTTTGTCATACCTTATTTTTTACATTCCAGTAATTATTTATTTATTTATTTATTTATAATTTGAGCACACTTACAAATAATACAGTACATAATAAATTTACAAATGCTGCTTTCATCTTGCTAAAAAAAATTTTGTATTTTTTGTACATATACATACTGTACTCTTCTTTGTTCAGTGCATCAGCATTTATTTTTCTCTCTTGGCAGAAAATAGTTGCTGTGTTGAACACAACATATTTAATTCTCCCAGCAGAATTTTAGCAACAGTTACTGCATGTCTTCCCCATCTCAAAATGATTTTTGCATTTTGTATACAAAAGATTAAGATATAATTCCACTCCACAGAAATATGAGCGTCTGAACCTAGCTGACGCACTGATACCAAAGGTGTACGTACCAGGGCAGCAGATTATTATGCAGGGTGACAGTGCTGACGGCATGTACTTTGTAGAGGATGGAACGGTTCGCATTACTATGGCCAAAGAAAATAATGAAGAAAAGGAGGTAAATTAGTTAAGGTTAAACTTAACTGGCACATAATCTCATCTCATAAGAAATTAATTACTCTAAATAATGGATATAGAATTGTGTAATTGGTTTATGGCTTCAGTGAGTGTGTGTGTACTTTCCTGTGTGAGGGTGCTAGGGGTCAAGTCTCAGGTCATGGCCCTTGTACTCATCAGTCTGTACATGCAGAAGTTGAATCTTGGCTTCTGGCCACCCGTATGAATGTAGGTGTATATTTCATCAAGTCACAAATACTAAAGGGCCAATTAAAAATATATTGTAACATAACAGGATGAGAGAAAGCCAACTAAATTAATTTCTGTATTATTATAATTTCTAGGTAGTAGGTTGGTAGACAGCAACCGCCCAGGGAGGTACTACCGTCCTGCCAAGTGAGTGTAAAACGGAAGCCTGTAATTGTTTTACATGATGATAGGATTGCTGGTGTCTTTTTATTCTGTCTCATACACATGCAAGATTTCAGGTACGTCTTGCTACTTCTACTTACACTTAGGTCACACTACACATACATGTACAAGCATATATATACACACCCCTCTGGGTTTTCTTCTATTTTCTTTCTAGTTCTTGTTCTTGTTTATTTCCTCCGTAAGCCATGTGGCTAAAATGCCAGGAGCTAGGGGCTAGTAACCTCTTCTCCTGTATATATTACTAAATGTAAAAGGAGAAACTTTCGTTTTTCCTTTTGGGCCACCCCGCCTTGGTGGGATACGGCCGGTGTGTTGAAAGAAAGATCATTATAATTATGGGGGAGAGCTAAACCTATAGAATTATACAGTGCCTGTGGGGGGGGGGGGGAGTATGGAAGGTATTCAGGCTCAGTTCAGGGAACTGGAGCACAGATTCAGTTCCCTAGATCAAGAGCCCCTCACCAGTGCCAAGGAACCTCGTGTCCGTCTCACACTATGCAAAAATGCAATGCACATAAAGGGCCCGAAGATCTGGAACTCTTTGTCTGAAACAGCAAGAGGTCCCCTGCCCACAAATCAATTTAGGACTATACTCAAAAATCATCTCATCACAGACCCAAACTTATGCCTAGAACAGATTAACTCGGTGGCACTCGATGTATGCACAAGGCTTATTCCTCTAAGAAAAAGGAGGAGTAGATGTAAAATAGAAAGAGACAGGCGCTCCCTTTACAGGCGACGGAAAAGAATAACAGAGCGGCTAAAAGAGGTCATATATCTGAAATGCGCAGGGAGACACTGGTCAGAGAAATAGCAAGCATCGAACTTAAGCTAAAAGAATCCTTTAGGAGTCAGGAATCGCGGGAAGAACTAAAAGCTATAAATGAAATCGAAAGAAACCCAAAGTATTTCTTCTCCTATGCCAAATCAAAATCGAGAACAACGCCAGTATTGGGCCCCTACTTAAACAAGATGGGTCCTACACAGATGACAGCAAGGAAATGAGTGAGCTACTCAAGTCCCAATATGACTCAGTTTTTAGCAAGCCGCTAACCAGACTGAGAGTCGAAGATCAAAATGAATTTTTTTATGAGAGAGCCACAAAATTTGATTAACACAAGCCTATCCGATGTTATCCTGACGCCAAATGACTTCGAACAGGCGATAAATGACATGCCCATGCACTCTGCCCCAGGGCCAGACTCATGGAACTCTGTGTTCATCAAGAACTGCAAGAAGCCCCTATCACGAGCCTTTTCCATCCTATGGAGAGGGAGCATGGACACGGGGGTCGTCCCTCAGTTACTAAAAACAACAGACATAGCCCCACTCCACAAAAAGGGGCAGTAAAGCAACAGCAAAGAACTACAGACCAATAGCACTAACATCCCATATCATAAAATCTTTGAAAGGGTCCTAAGAAGCAAGATCACCACCCATCTAGAAACCCATCAGTTACACAACCCAGGGCAACATGGGTTTAGAACAGGTCGCTCCTGTCTGTCTCAACTACTGGATCACTACGACAAGGTCCTAAATGCACTAGAAGACAAAAAGAATGCAGATGTAATATATACAGACTTTGCAAAAGCCTTCGACAAGTGTGACCATGGCGTAATAGCGCACAAAATGCGCGCTAAAGGAATAACAGGAAAAGTCGGTCGATGGATCTATAATTTCCTCACTAACAGAACACAGAGAGTAGTCGTCAACAGAGTAAAGTCCGAGGCAGCTACGGTGAAAAGCTCTGTTCCACAAGGCACAGTACTAGCTCCCATCTTGTTCCTCATCCTCATATCCGACATAGACAAGGATGTCAGCCACAGCACCGTGTCTTCCTTTGCAGATGACACCCGAATCTGCATGACAGTGTCTTCCATTGCAGACACTGCAAGGCTCCAGGCGGACATCAACCAAATCTTTCAGTGGGCTGCAGAAAACAATATGAAGTTCAACGATGAGAAATTTCAATTACTCAGATATGGTAAACATGAGGAAATTAAAATCTTCATCAGAGTACAAACAAATTCTGGTCACAAAATAGAGCGAAACACCAATGTCAAAGACCTGGGAGTGATTATGTCGGAGGATCTCACCTTCAAGGACCATAACATTGTATCAATCGCATCTGCTAGAAAAATGACAGGATGGATAATGAGAACCTTCAAAACTAGGGAGGCCAAGCCCATGATGACACTCTTCAGGTCACTTGTTCTATCTAGGCTGGAATATTGCTGCACTCTAACAGCACCTTTCAAGGCAGGTGAAATTGCCGACCTAGAAAATGTACAGAGAACTTTCACGGCGCGCATAACGGAGATAAAACACCTCAATTACTGGGAGCGCTTGAGGTTTCTAAACCTGTATTCCCTGGAACACAGGAGGGAGAGATGCATGATTATATACACCTGGAAAATCCTAGAGGGACTAGTACCGAACTTGCACACGAAAATCACTCACTACGAAAGCAAAAGACTTGGCAGACGATGCACCATCCCCCCAATGAAAAGCAGGGGTGTCACTAGCACGTTAAGAGACCATACAATAAGTGTCAGGGGCCCGAGACTGTTCAACTGCCTCCCAGCACACATAAGGGGGATTACCAACAGACCCCTGGCAGTCTTCAAGCTGGCACTGGACAAGCACCTAAAGTCAGTTCCTGATCAGCCGGGCTGTGGCTCGTACGTTGGTTTGTGTGCAGCCAGCAGCAACAGCCTGGTTGATCAGGCGCTGATCCACCAGGAGGCCTGATCACAGACCGGGCCGCGGGGGCGTTGACCCCCGAAACTCTCTCCAGGTAAACTCCAGGTAATATCCACACTATGCTAACCCCTGACCAAATTCAAAGCAACTCTCCTAAATATTTTATTATTCCTTAACTATTAAGCCATTATTACCAACTTCAAAATGTATGTTTGTATCACTAATTGTACCACCTCATATGAATAATAGAGTAAAATATTGAATATTTGTATTCTACCACTCTTCACCTGTCTAGACTTAAGTAATCTATAAGTATTAGGTTAAGTCTGCCTGAAATGCCTTAGCATGATAGTGGCTTATTTTGTTCCAATCAAATTATGATATGTAAACTCACATTGTAACATTACCAAATAAATAAAATAAAAGATTAGATGCCAGATTGAAGGAGGGAGTAAGGAGGAAGTGAATACACATATATTAGAATACTATAATGTATTTCCCATTTTGTTTTATTAATTTACAGGGGAGTTCATCAGTCAGTGGCTTATTGTTATAAGCATAACTTAGTACTAAACCCACAAGGGTCAAACTGTGCTGGTCAGTGGCTTAGCTGTACAACATTTGTAAAATTTTAAAAAAGGTAATATTGGTATTCTGACTATTGGAATTTTACAGATTAGCCGAGTCTCTGTTGGTGGTTACTTTGGAGAGCTGGCACTTGTCACTAAGAAAGCAAGAGCGGCCTCAGTGTATGCTGTTGGCAAGGCCAAATTAGCATGTAAGTTCACTCTTTCATTTAGTAAATGAATTATTGTTCTTTGGATATTTCAGTGGTATTGTCTATGTTGCTTGTATTATGTCTTTCCTTAATGTGGTCATTGATGGTGAATATTTGAGGCACTGCAAGTCAGAAAATAATAAGTGACAAAGTCAAATAATGGAGAAAAATGCAAGCATGGAGGTGATCAAAGCTACAGAGCTGAGGTTATCATATGGGGCTTTGAGCCTAATTTACAGATGCATAAGACACTATCTACACATTCCCACAAATGCAAAACATTAACAATCAGTTTGTTCACTAACAAGGATTTTGGTTGTGAAGGCACCTATTCTTTCCTGCCATGCAATGTCTTATATATTATAGTTTAATGTTAGATATGAATCTAATACTGGCTATACGTATATTATGTGAAAAATACATTACTCTCCCATGTTTAAAATATACTAATTTAATATAAGTAACATTTGAAGAGGGCATACTGCATATTCTTGTCATTATCTCTCTTTCATGGCATCTATTTAATGGCCAATTAGCTATCCAGCCTAACTCTATTATTATTTTTAATTTTATTTATTATATTTATTATTTGTAGTCTGGAGATTAGTAGGTGCAGGTGTGGTTGTCAAGTGTACATCAACAATGCTGCCTTGGTTGTCTCTTACCACCTGTATCATAAACATTTTCCTTTTTTTTCTTGTCCTTCTGGTTTCAAACTTCTTGAAAACCAATATCCTCTAGGTACATATCACCTCAGAGAGGAGACGTGTTGCTCTTTCCGGCAAGTCATTTTACTTTTCGTACAGATTACAATACAGAACAACATTTGTTCTGGTGATGTAATAAATAACAATTCACTTTTGTACAGTGAATGCATGGAGAGAGCGAGAGTACCAGCACATCCGTACAGGACAGAGGTCTAGCAGGAACTGATTGCACGAGCACATACAGTAAATGCATATCAAATACGTATACATGTATATGGCATTACCAGTAGAAATGGGGCAGAGTTAACCTGCATTAAGTGAGGGAAAACTTGCAAAGGTGCTCTTTGACTTCAATGGTTTGACTTACGATATTTCAAC